TCTGATTCCAAACTTATTCTTTAATTTTTTTAGAGTATTTAATAATAATTGGAAGGTATTATATAAGAAAATCGTCCATCAAATATGTATTCAATATAAAATTTGTGCATTATCTTTTAATAATTTTATATGGTTACGTAGGAATCCAACAATATTTGATTAGGATGTTCATATGACTATGCCAAACAATATTTGAAAATACACATTTGATTGTTTTTAGTTTTTAGTTTAGTATTTTAGTAAACTGTACAAAATCATTGTTTACATATATAACTAGTGACTCCTCCGTGTCATATACGGGATAATATTTTAAAAGATAAATTCCAATAAATTTTCTATTATGCTTAAATGATATATAATTTTGTATTGATTTTTAGATACACTTTTACTATGTCATATTAAAGCATTTAATCCATTTTATAGTTATCTATGTCATACTTCAAATTTTAAAACTGCACGAATTCTCAAACCAAATTAGTTTCTGGTTTTTTACTCATTTTTTAGTTTAAATAGTCTTTCTCCCATATTTTCTCTAAACAAAAACAAAAATCCCACTACAGTATAAGTGTTTAGTACAATTTCTCATCCATAGATCCATTTTAATTTTCATAGCAAGTGTATGATATGCTATATATTTACTCTTTTCTGATAATCGAATACATATAGACATTTTGTCTCCATTTTTTACAATTTCCATATCTAAAACGACAATCTAGATCTTAACTAATTCAAATTTGTTTTTAATGTTCAAGAGTTGGAGATTAAAAAATTCATAATAGAAAATATGTTTAACTAATGGAATCGTTTTTTTTTAATACATGATATCTTTATTTTTCGCCTGTCTCCATTTTTTTATATAATTTGGGGGTTTTTTTAACTTTGACATTTACATTTTTATCTTACAGTGATAGTTATATATGAAGTTATTTTTAAAATATATTGTGATTTGGTGTGAATTTTGAATGTATTTCTACTAATAATAATAAATATTAATCCGATAGATAAGACAATATTGGGTTTTG